TCTATGCCTGACCTCCCATGGTATTGCATTTTAATCAGTGCCTTAGAGGATGAAAGCACCCAAATCCCTTGCTGGGAGTAGCAGTTGACATCTAGGAGACGAGAGTCTCTAAGTGAGAACATCTCAATAGGCACGATGGGCCAAACCTACTAATAAGATGGAATTTCATGTCCATAGGTCAAGAATGTGTAATTTGTTTTTGGGGGGGGCTACCTCCCCCAACACAGCACCACTAGCATCATTGATGCCTTGGACTTTCTGAGGCTCCAGAGTCACACAGCTAATAAGGGCATCAAAAACAGGATTTGAACTGAGCTCTACCTGATTCTAAGTCCAGTCCTGAACTTGAGTTTAAAAAGTCAATCCCTAAGTACAGCATGAGAGACAAGCATAGGTAGACAGGAGTTTCTGTGGGGGAAGGGCTGCTGGTTTTAGTGATTCAGCAACCAGAAAAACTAGAGCCACGCTGGGCTACCTAAAGAGATGGTCAGTGCCCTGGCCTAGGGAAGTGACAGTCTCTGCTGCCTCTGGCCTTTTAAGAAGGCCTGGGATCCTAAGGAGGGCAACTAGGATGGAGAGGGGACTGGAGAAAGTGGACCTGAGTCTGCTAAGACTGAGAGAAGAAGACAAGTGGTTGGGGAGAGAGGGATGATAGCCGTTATGTGAAGGAGACCCGTTCTTGAGCTCAGAGAAGAGAACCAGGAATGCTGGGTGAAATTCCACCTAAAGAGACAGATAATTACAGTGTATCAGGAAATATTTCCCAATAATAAGAGCCATCCCATAGTGGAAGGGGTGGCTCCGGAGGTAGTGAGTGCCCCCCCCCCCACCAGGAGTGAGAGGAGAATGCCCCACTGAGGATTCTTGGTCAGTTATAGCCTGAGTCTGGCAGCCTTTGAAGCCCTTTTTAGCTTGGGAGATGTTTCAATCCTGCCAGCTAAAGGAGTTTGAGCTTTACTTGGGAGACAATAGATTTTTGAGCAGAGGAGCATTATGACTAGATCTAAGATCTAAGAGTAAGATGGAAGTGGTAGGTACAGAGGAGTTGGGGAAACCCTGAGGGAAGCTAGTGGCAGTGAGGATCTCAGCTAGCTTGGTGACAGTGGGGTCGGGTGCAAAAGAAGGAAAGGCTGAAATCGAGATTTCAGAGATGGAATTGACTGGGTCTGGTAACTGGTAGGAGGTGAGAGGAGAAGGTAGAGACAAAAGATCACATCAGGGTTTCCTTCTTCAACTCTATTGATGTTTATAATCCCAGAGTCATTTAGTAGACTTATTTCTGTTGTTACACCTTTCAGAGAAACTTTTTTTTTTTTTTGCTAGACAATGGGGTTAAGTGACTTGCCCAGGGTCATCACAGCTAGTAAATGTTATGTGTCTAAGGGCGGATTTAAACTCAGGTCTTCCTGAATCCAGGACTGGTGCTCTATCCACTGCCCCCACCTAGCTGCCCTGAGAGAATCATTTTTGATTGTGAGATGTGTGTATGACCCTTTGCTGGAGGAGACCTCTGTTGAAGCAAACACATTTACTTATTTATTTTTAATTTTTAACATTCACTTCCAGAAGATTTTGAGTTCCAAATTTTCTCCCTTTCCCTCCCCTCCCCCACCCCAAGATGGAGTGCAATCTGATATAGGCTCTACATATATATTCATATTGGACCTATTTTCACATGAGTCATGTTGTAAAGAAGAATTAGAACCAATGGGAGAAATCACGAGAAAGAAGAAACAAAAAACAAACAAAAAAAAAACAAAAAAAAAAGAGGGAGAGCAAATAGTATTCTTTGATCTGCATTCAGACTCCATAGTTCTTTCTCTGGATGTGGATAGCATTTTCCATCATGAGTCTTTTGGAATTGTCTTAGATCCTTGCATTGCCGAGAAGAGCTAAGTCTATCAAAGTTAGTCATTGCACAATGTGGCTGTTACTATGTACAGTACTCTCCTGGTTCTGCTCACTTCACTCAGCATCAGTTCATATAAGTCTTTCCAGGTTTTTCTGAAGTCTGCCTGCTCATCATTTCTTATAGCATTGCTTATAGTATTCCATCACAATCATATACCACAACTTGTTCAGCCATTTCCCAACTGATAGGCATCCCCTTAATTTCCAATTCTTTGCCATCACAAAAAGAGCGAAGCGAACACTTTTTCTTTTTTTCTGTGTCTCCTTCAGTGTAATTCAACAATGTTAATGCCAAAACATTTTTTTTTCCCAAAGAGCAGGGAAACCTTGAAATAGTGAGAGGAAGGGGCAGCAAAGTGGTGCAGTGGATATAGCACCGGCCCTGAAGTCAGGAGGACCTGAGTTCAAATCTGACCTCAGACCAAACACTTGCTGTATACTAGCTGTGTGACCTTGGGCAAGTCACTTAACCCTGATTGCCTCACCAAAAAAAAAA